CGAACTTCTGAGGCAGCGTGATGGTTTGTCTACAGCAAATCCAGCTTTGTTGATAACTAAGCAAATATCCAATTACTACAATATTAATTTCTCGATAAAAATGACAAAAAACGTTACACAAACCACAACATTCAGACGCCATTATTTTTCTAGCTCAACTATCACAGAATAGAAAGTAATGGATTGTGGCATATCAAAGGACACTTCTATGCTGCCTTCAAAAATGTATCAGGAGTGCGTTTCCCGTACAATGACGTAACTCGCTGCTTTAAGAGTAACTAAACACTTAACCAACTTTTTTTAGTTAATGATCTGTAAGAATGGATCTTTATTAATACCAGTCATTGATTCGAACTTTTTTCACATTTGTTTATAAAGTGTTCTATTTCTACAATATATGGTGTAAAAGTGTCTTAGTGCTGCCCTCTTCAGGTTGAACGGTGGCTACTACAGTTGAATTTTCCTATTGGATTTTAGCGGTTCTTCGTGACGTACGCAGCTTTCAGCACACCACGCGAGCTACGCCCTTGGCAATATAAAAACCATCTTTTGTCGTCAAAACCACTGTAGGGAGTCAGGAATTGGAATTGTGAGTATTGAAAACGATCAGGATAGAGTGTTTTAGCATTTATTTCGTCCCCTCTATCTCCGCTGGGGTCAGCCCACTTTTTCAGCATTTTCAAATATTGCCAGTGGGTGGAGTCAGGCTCTGACCAGGGGTTTAGTTACCCTTTAACTACTATAGTACAATGCATCATTGAGGAAATCAAGTAGCTAGTCATGACTGTTTCCCGAAACCATATTGTCACAAATTGGTTGTTTAATCACGTTGGTTAAGGATGTCACGCACATGGTAGAGTAATAACTTCTTTTAAAGTCGTCATGAAACGAAAGTTGAGTCATTTTTTCCTTGTTGTGAAGTGAAACGGCTTCTGAAATTGGAAAAAAAAATGTAGGGGGGGGGGGCTTGATTTCGTCCTTCAGGAATTGATTGGATCGTTGGAGGTTAGTCGTTACATACAAAATGGAGGCAGATTTGAATGCGATTCTCTTAGAGGCGGTTCACCGATAGCCACACCCTCATCGGATCTGGCCTCACCTTTTCACCATTCCACGTGACCAAAATAGAAGAATTGTCGTTTCGATGGGGGAGGGAAGGATAATCTATTTGATTAAAGATTATAAGGGTACGTGAAATTAAAAAAAATGAAGTGCAGATATAAATCATTTATAATAAATACTACAATATTACATACAAAAGAAGATTTGTCAAATTTGATTTCATGCCAACTTTAATGAATCTGTTTGAGAACAAATCAATGATCTTTTTTTTTGCTATAAATTACAGACCTGGCAACTTAGGACTATTTCGAATTTTTCTCAGTTATTTTTAGAACTATGGTTTTGGGAAACACCGACTTGTTTAACTATGCTGATAACGACAGAACATGCAACCATAGCTGGTATCTCAGGAGACAGGATGTGAAGCTAACGTTGGATTTGGACGTGCACTGATGCCTTAGTTCCTACCCTAGAACGCATCCTCCAAAGGCAGCATTTTTAAGCTTTTGGACACAGCCAGCTCTTGGAGAGCTACCATTCTGCAGAGTTCAACTCCAGCGCCAATCAAATACACCTGAACCAGCTAATCAAGGTGTGCAGGGTCACTTGGAAATTTACTGGCAGTTGTGTCGGAGCAGGGTTGGAATGAAGTCTGCAGGAAATAAGCTCTTCAGGAGCAGGTTTGGAGATCTAAAGGAGACCATTTTCAAATTAAAGCAATAAAGCATAAAACATTTAACGTGTTTTGGCCATTCATTTACACGACAAATACGATTTTTTTTGGGGGTGCCTGAAAACACAAACCTTTGAAAATGGGTTTCGAAATGCAGGTTTTTACAACAAAAACATCATGCACATATTATTACGTGTTCAGTCAATAGTGTTTAATCACCATCTAATGGCCTGGCAGCAGAATACAGCGCTTTTAGTCCTTTCCGTGTGAATGGGGATCGTTTTGTCGTCTGTACGCGGAAAACTCAAAGGAAAAACTTTTAACTCCGTTTTAAGCATAACGTTGTAGTGCAAACGTACCCTTAATGTGCATATAAACTTTTTTAGATTATTAAAATTAGAGCCAGACTGATTTATCGGCAGGCCGATATTATCGGTTGATATTAGTCATTTTCCAAATTATCGGTATCGGCATTTAGAATGGCCGATAAATGAATATTTCAAAAATAAAATAAAAACGGACGAAACACGCTTCAACCATGTCATGAGTGTTGGAGTTGCACCAGAGGGCACTCTACACCGTCCCTGTTGGCAACACTCGTGTTTAACGTGCCACACATCCTGCAACTTGATGGACAGAATTAAAAAAGTGCAGGTGAAGGGATAAGAAAGCTGACATTGTAATTATAAGGTAGCTTATCTAGGGACTAATTATTATTTTATTTATCAGAACTTTAATATATTTTGATGTTCCTCTGTTCTGTTGTGACAAAAAAAGAAACAAGTTTCTTTTTAAAATGCATTATCATATTATTTTAGTTAAAACTCATAAATAACTAATGTTAGGGAAATCAGATAATGTTTTGTTGCGCGTTTCTGAAATAAAAATAAAAAATATCGGCCGATATATCGGATTTTAAAACCAACAAATATTTGTATCGGTATCGGCCTTCAAAATCTTTTATCGGTCGGGCTCTAATTAAAATTGGCCTTGTTCTCTCTCAGACCCTAAACAGCACAGGCATGTTGAGTGAGTCTCTATGTCCTCTGTGTGGCCTGCTTGTTGAGTGACATCAGAGGACTCACCAGGCCACCCATTAACTGCACTGCAGTCAGACAGGTTAAGAAAACATTGCCAGGGGTTTGAGTGAGAGCAGGGGGAGGAAGATCTGCCAACTAGCTTTACACAAAAGCTGGCCATTCATTAACCTGTCTTCATTCTGCTCTTGGGTACTGTACTGACCCACATAGGCTAGTATTGGAAATGCATACAGTGCACACATTCATCATTATTGACACCTCATGCCCCATCTCACTGAACTAGGATCAGCTGCTTTAGCACCTTGTGCTTATTCCGTCGCCACTAAAATTTTCAATCAGACAATGAGGGTATGCACGGTCAAAAATATCCTATAAATGCTTCTATCACAGTAGCAGTAATGCATGTAAATTATTAACACACACACAGTCTTAATTTTTGATCCGGTTCTTTAGCACTCCAAATTGTGGGCCCCATAAAATCAATATCTCAACACATGGTTCAGGACAGGAATGTGGAAGAATTCCCTATCACACCATGACACAAAACCCCAAAACACGCAACAGACCCAGCGCTATATTTGCCAGCACTCAAAGCAATGCAGCGTTATCATTTCTCTTCTCTATCTTCCCAGATAAGACAATGAACTAGCCAGGGCCAGTGCTGCTTTGTTTTAGCCGTCTCATTTCTTTTCCTATGGACTTTGCTTTCTTTGTCAGTGACGAAGAAGCGCAAGTGTGCAACAGGTTTAAAGTTTTACCTCTTCCCTTTTCAACATGACAACCCGGAGCAGGAGCAAGCCGGTTAAAAGTGGACCATCTAGATTAAGGTAATGATTCAGATATGAGACCAGTTGTATAATTAAAATAAACTACAACAGTGTTAGTGACCAAGTAAAATGATTTCTGATTTGTTCACTGGAAATACCATTGTCACCACCAGAGTGCAATAGTCGGTTTTCTATAAGTAAAAATGTTTCATTTTCTCCATACACTGTAAAAAAATATTTTCAAGATTTGTTATCACAACATATTTTCTTTTGTCAAATCAACTTAAATAAATTATTTAGTTGAGATAACTTATTATGTTGAGTTTCTGATGATTAAATTAATCTCCTTCATTGTATTAGCTCACTTTTTCCAGTTCAATCAACTTAAAATTTTAAGGCAACCAGGTTACTTACTTTTTTAAGTTGAACCAACAATATTTTTTACAGTGTTAGCATAAGGAAATTGATTTTGAACTTATACATCTTTAAAGACAGACCTACAAGATATAAGGTGAAAGTTATATGCTTTTGTTAAAGCAAAATGATTGTGCAAAGAAATCTCAAAGAAGCAAATCGCACCAAAAGAACCCTTTGGCGCCCACCCACTCCCATGAAGCACTGTGATAGAGTCGGTTTCCCTATGCTCCCAAACTGCTTCAATATTAGTATGCATAAAACACATATTTTCTCCACATTTTTGCACAAAATGTCAATCATTTTCTCCATAAGCATGGGGGAATTGTTGAAGCTGTCAACTTTTGTTCAACAGTGCAATTCCACATTACCTACATTGAAATCTCCACCAATCAAAAATGTGCAACAAACAGATCACACATCAAAATAATGAACCTCCCATGAACCAGTGCAAATGAATCATGCTCTCAAACTGCTTAAATATTAATATGTGAAGTTCTTGTACCTTTTTGTCTGTTTTTCAACTATTTATATATATATATATATATATATTTGCTTCAGGTCAAAGTTTGTGATTTACCTAGTGGGCTGGTCCTTACTTATAACTCCTAAACAAAGACTTCGACCAAAACAAAGTGGGCAAACACTGTCGCACTCTATTATAACTGACCATTACCCTGAAACATTAAGAGAAATGTGCATATAAACAGCCATAAATAGTGCTTCGGGCCCAAGATTGTACTAAAAGGTACAAACACTAACCTTAAGTACTGGACAAAGGTTGGGAGCTTATCACGATACCTCACCCCAATTATCAGACAACATGGGTGAATTCTCATTCCCCATGAGTTATTAACTAATTAACTCTCTGTTATTAACTAATAAACAGCACTGATTGACAAGCCCATCTTTTGAAGACTTCCACACTCACAGTTACAATCTCCCACAATAAACTGCATGAGGCTAGAATCATATCTAGATTTACAAGAAGCAAGCATGCACGATCAGATAAGAAAAACATCGCAGCACAATGACCCTATTTACCTCAAACAGGTTTGATGCTTCATTGCCATACTGACTGGAAATGATTTCTGATTGGTCGCTGTACCACTTGAGTCCGCCCAGAAAGGTATCTGCATCGAGGTCACTGACATCCAGCTCAGAGAGGTCAAGCTCAGGAAGGTCAGGGCAAAGGGGCTGGTCTTCACCAACTAAGGCAGCACACTGGGAAAGAGAAGAGATTATTGAGCACATATTTGCATAAGTTTTTATGTACAGTAGACATGAGCGCTTAGTTTCCAAAAAAGCCACATATTTCATGGCTTGGGCCAGTTTTAGTGATAGTAGAATTGTTCAAATGGAATCCGACGTTGGTTAACATTTTGTATTTACTCTCTTACTCTCTAAATCACACAAAAAAATAAAAAAAAATAAACTATCACATTGCTGTTGGTGGGATCAACAAATCATTCAGTACTGGTCAGGCATTACAACACCTTGTATATTGACAGATGTCTCCATAAACTTGTTCCATAAGCTTGTAAACCTATATTTGTATTGCTTTTGACTTTTTAATCCAATAAGTAAACTAAGGCAATGATGCTGTGTCATGTTTTAACACACCATGCACAATTATGCTTAATGTTTATGTCATGCAAAATGTCCTAACTTTAATGTGAAATGTTGAGATGTTTTAAAAGAGATATGGAGTTGTACCCCTATTTTCATTGAGCATTGTGTGAAACACAAAGCAAAACATTACATTTCTATAAAACAACTATTTGAGCATCACAAAAGTGAATCACTGTACACAGACTTAATTATATCAAGTCTATATAAGCTAAACTAACAAATTGTGCCACATCATGCCATATATCTATAAATATCATAATATACATCATAATAACATAATATAATATCATAATATCTAAAAAAAAATGTCTATTTGCGCAGTGCGTGACTGATGTAACCACCAATAACTCATCCTTTATTTGATTCATAGGGAGCGTAACTTACCTACGTAATTACCACCTGTGTAACATGAAAAAGCTACTTCATTCATTGCTGAATTTATTATTAACCTGTGCTCATTTGGGTTTCATTATCCCGAACTAGAGGATTAAGACATATTAAGAATCAAATTTGAGAAACATAAATCTAACCAAACATCATATTTAGACGCGTTTGCTGCATCAAGGAAACCACTACAACATAACCAACCAGAAAACAAACAATTCTGTGATTGGTTGCGAGAGGGGTGGGGCGGTCCGTCGTAGGGAAGAGCGCGACAGCCACGCCCTCTGATTGGTCAGAATACTGTACTTCATATAGTGAGTATGTTGTGAGTAAAATAGATGGGAGGTGGGAGCTAAACCAGCAGTGCGCGCGCACAGGTGTGTAGAGTTTTGACAGACAGCGGAGGGTGCTGTAGTGTAGAGTGATGCTTGTCGTGAACAGTCAAATGTTTATTTTGTACGATTGTCGAAATGATTCCATCAGCGCGTGTTAACTACGTCCCAAATCGCATAACTCTGCTTTTTTTTTTTTTTTTGCTCGGTACTGACACAAATGTAACATCACAGCAATCTGCATAAGTAATCTGAAATCAAAGAAGATTCTCACACCTCACACTTGATCATCGGTATCCGATTTAGATCATCTCAAATCATCTCCTTCCGCTGTCACGAATTTATACGCCAGGGAAACCGGTTATATCCATTTGTAGCAGGTTAATGATAAAATAAGATAAAATCACATGCACCAGATGCTTCTGCCTCGACACCTTGAAAGCCTTCTCCCCCTTTTTCCTCTAAAAAATACGAACACGCTCACGCTTAATCACGAGCACATGCACACACAGAGAGAGAGAGAGAGAGAGAGAGAGAGAGAGAGAGAGAGAGAGAGAGAGAGAGAGAGAGAGAGAGAGAGAGAGAGAGAGAGAATAGCTACTTGTGTTGGAACTGATATGATTAGAATTGGAAACGAGAAGCAATTTGCTGATTGTGTTTAGATGGATTTATGCTCCGACTGAGACACTTAACTAACCTTTTAAAACGAAAATAACAATAGCGCACGTGCATGCAACGTAGACAGGTGCTATACAGTCAGCGCAGCGATACATTTATATATGGTGAGTAAAAAGTTTCAGCTAGGCATACTGAATAAGCACTGCTTTATGGATAAACTAATACGCGATAGATAGATAGATAGATAGATAGATAGATAGATAGATAGATAGATAGATAGATAGATAGATAGATAGATAGATAGATAGAAATCCTAATGCGTCGTTAAATTATCCTTACATTACGCCGAGCGAAACATGTAACACGTGTTTAAACAAATCTAAAATGTATCGAACAGCATTTTAATGATTCACCTATGTCATACACAGCTATGCAATCGGTATTGATGCATTCCACTGGAGCAACACTTCACCTTGCAATAAAGTCTTGCTAAATACAAAGTAAACGAGGTTCAGCCGCTTTTTTCTTCTTCTTTTTGCCGAACCCCGATTTCCTGCGCAATTCTCATATAATCCAGCACGCGCTTCGCATGCAAGCAAATAAGCCTTCTTCGAGACTGTATCTGTTTTCTGATAGGAAAGTTTCAATGTACAATACCTGACGCGAGTACATATTAGTAATTCCAGCACATCGGCAGTGGCTCTAGGCTCTCACTGAAGCAGATACCTGTCTCATCATCACCTGCGTTACCAGCGAGCGAGCGAGCGCGCACTCCATCCACGGGCATGTCAACAATTCCCCACGACAAGACATCCTAAACAGCCTGTCACTCTTCAACTCCGACACCGCTTGAGAACAGCCAACTCGCTATCACCAGATAAATCACAGCACACACAATTTCTGCCAACATATTCGACTTTCTCACAACCCGGCGTAATTCCCGTGCATTCGCGTCCGTGCGTCTTCCGTGCATCTTACAAGAACGGTCGAGTTCTCATAACGGGAACTACTACCGAAGCCAGTCTCGGACGTTCACTGCACTCCGTCTCCTCAAAGAACGAAAAAAAAGTGTTCCAGCCCTGGAAAAATAAGTTGCACATCAGTTCTCACCTCTAGTTCTCTCCACACCGAGTCCTGATTACACCTGTCCCACGCCATCCAGCCACTGAATGACGGTACGAAAAAATAAAAAATAAATTACGGACAAAAGAGAAAATCCACTCGTTCCCTCGCGCCCCTCACTGACAATGAACCGAGGGCACCTGTCTTACAACTGCTTTCCATCACATGACAAAGCTATTAAAAGTAGGCAGGGGAGTGACTCCCCTTCGCTGTTACTCGCCAATGACGTGCCGTGAGGAGGGCGGGGTCTGGCACGCGCATAGTAAATCTTCCTCAACTATAAACCCACTCTCAACATGCCTCTAGTAACAGCTAGGGCTGGGAAACAAGAACCGGTCCTGTTTTAAAAAAAAAATATGACCGGAACCGAATGACTTTCTTGACGTTTTTCGAACGTGCAAACACGAGCCCGTATTAAAATAGCACTGACTGGTCTGTTCAGCGGCGCCACAGCACCGCTACTGAATGTACAGCGCGGAACATACAGGGACCAATGCAGTTCGATTCTCGAAGGAATGACTCTTATGAGCCGGTTCTTTTTAGTGAATCAAACAGCCGGCGCGCGACCGGCACCGAATGAATGACACCGGTTCGTTTTAGTGGATAATAATCATTATGATTCTTTTGCACGACGTTGGATACACACCAAAATACATAAACGCTGCCTGTATAGAAGCTCGTCGGTCAGTGCAGTCAGAGGAGGGATAATTTACGAGTCAGCCGGGACCTTTTACCCATCAGTGCATCCATCAGATATGCTATTATTTTTTCTCTCTCTTGTGAACAGCTTCCTCATTCGCCGTATCATAATTGGTCCGCTTAAGAAAAGCTTTTAATCCTAATTACTTTCGTTCACCGAAGTAAACACTTGCTCTAGGCCTCTTTATTGAGCAAATTATCGTTCATCTCCGCTGCAATGCGAAAGGAAAATAATGTAAATAAAGACGGGACAAATTGGTTGGTTATATGAGAACGCGGTCAATAAGTTGTGAAGACTATGGCGGTTCGCAGAATACTTTGAATCCATATCGCCCGAGGCATCTTCTTTACTCGAATGCCCACAGCCGGGAGTGTGTGTGAGGGGGTTGTGTGCTCAAATACTATGTTTCATGATATAGCCTATACGCTGGACTGTGTGCGCGCCGACCGACTGAGGACTGACTTCATTTTAAGCTCATTGGATGTCGTGTCACATTTAGCACCCCCACCTTCCCTCCCCGCGCGCGATACTTTCCATCCGGCTCCGCAAACTAAGCATCAGCTTGGCTGCTCTGGAGAGTCATAACGGCTAAAAGACAATGTAATGCGCTCACAAAGGATTTTTCATCTCCACTCAAACGCCAGGAAGAAGCAGGTGACGAAGTGTACAGATCAACAGTTCATGAATGTATACGCAACACAGATTGAGAAAACCAAAACACGAGGTTTGTAGACAGTCAAAACAAAACGCAGATCGACCACTGATGACCGCCCACTTTTTTGAGAGCTGGAAGCCCACTGTTTATCAGCTGCATCATCAGTTTTAATGTAGCCTTCAAAACACTGAGAAAATAATTAATATTGTGTTGGTGATGTTTAAACCAATATGCTTTGGCTATTTTAATAGCCTATATTAAACAGAACCCCTATACTTTTTTAATTTATATAGAACTATAAGAGCTTATGTCGGTGTAATGCATATCCACAGGCGACCACTCTTATCTCAGATGGTTCTTACATGGTAACATAAACACAATACTAAAGCAACACACAGACGACACACTGATGCCATATTGTAATCAAGGCTGGAGAGCAGGAGGGATGAAACTAGTTGGTTGCTCATTGTATGTAAAGGCACGTGACTCTCTCTCTCTCTCTCTCTCTCTCTCTCTCTCTCTCTCTCTCTCTCTCTCTCTCTCTCTCTCTCTCTCTCTCTCTCTCACTCACTCACTCACTGGCACAGACGCGCAGAAAGCCTTATCTGATTGTTCTCTTTATGGCAATTAAGAAATAGTGAGCTAAAAATATGACTCTGTTGTGATTTCCTTTTAAATGGATTTTGATTTGTTTTCATTTTCTTCCTTGTGCTGGCAGCATTTCCAAGAGAAGATATAATTTTCCAGATAGAACCTGTCACGAGTCTGTAGTCCATGGTGGCATGAAATGTCTAAATGAACAGCAGGTTTTGAATGTAATTGAAGAGTTCAGATGCTAGCCTCTAAGTGCCATTTGAAATTTTCTTCTTTAATGATCATTTTTATCAAGCTTGTATTTAAGTTCAGTGATTTCACTTTAATGACAATGATAATTACCTATTAATTGTTATTTAAGTGAAATTACTGAACTTAAATATACAAGTTTCATAAAAATCATCATTAAAGAAGAAAATTTCAAATGGCATTTAGAGGCTTTTGCATCTGAACTCTTCAATTTTTTTTTGTTAAACTGTCAATGAATAAATGCCAAAACAGCCATGTTCAAATAAATAGAGGCATATTCTGGAACAAATATACCCTTGTGAAAAAGAAGTGTGCTTAATTCTATTAAATGTGCACTTACAGTATGCACTTAGAATGTTAAGAGTAGCCTATATATATATATATATATATTTAAATGTACCTTCAAATAATAATATTAAGGAAATAAAAGGTCTCTTAAGCATGGAAGCTTGATTCCACCATGGGATTAAAAAAAAAATTGCGACTTTTCTCACAATTCTAACTTTTTTCTTTTCATCTCACAGTTCTGACTTTTTTTTCTCTGATTGTGAGATTATGAAGTCCAATTCTGAGGAAGAAAATACTTATTTTTCAGAATTGCAAATTTATGTCTCACAATTCTGACTTTAGAATTCGCAAATTGTGGATTGCGTGAAAAAAAAAAAGTCATAATTGTGAGATACAAAGTCACCATTACCTTTTTTTTTTATTCTGTGGCGGAAACAAGCTTCCATATTAAAGTGTAGCTACTCAGTCTCAAACACTTTTAAACTTTATTATAATCTCAAATAAATAGTTTACCTTCAAAGTACATTTTAGATCACTTTGTTTTAAAGGGATAGTTCACTTTGAAATGAATTTTTGGTATGTTTTAACTTACCTCAAGGGCATCCAAGATGTAGGTGTCTTTGTTTCCGCAGTAGTTTCAATTTTTATGTTTTAGGTCAAAACCTTCGTTTCTGTCAGTCATATAATGGAGGTCTATGGTCACCACCTCAAAGAGCATGCACAGAGAAGTCAAAATTAAACATGATATAATGACTCGTAAAAGTAAGTACACATTGATGGCCTAAGACACGAAACGAGCAGTTGGTGTGAGAAAACGAACAGTATTTATATCGTTTGTACCTTTTGTTACCACAGCCACAAAGCCGCGCCCTCAGATCACTTGTACTTCTTGTGCAAGTGATCTGACGGTGCGGGCGCTTTGTGGCTGTAGGTAAAAACGATATAAATACTGTTCGTTTTCTCACACAAACCGCCGTTTAATTTGGACTTCTCCATGCATGCTCTTTGAGGTGGTGACCATAGACCTCCATTATGACTGACAGACAAGAGCGGTTTGACCTAAAAATATAAAAATTGAAACTACTGCGGAAACAAAGACACCTACATCTTGGATGCCCCTGAGGTAAGCTAAAACATACCAAAATACCAAAATGCTGGGTTGTTTTAACCCAACTGTGGATCAAATATGGACAAACCCAAATGTTGGGTTAAAAATGCAATTAAAAAAATTAACCCAATGGCTGGGTTTGTCCATATTTGACCCAAAGTTGGGTTAAAGCAACCCAGCAATTTTTACAATCTTGTATTGGAAGGCATATATTACAGCTATGTTGGATACGGCTAAGACACACCAGCACTATAAAACATTTATTAACAAGACTTGGAGGCAGATTTGGGGCAAAGCCCTGGGAGCTTACCTTGCAGTTTAAAGGCATCTGTGCGTATATTTGGAAAGCTATTGTGTGGGATATTCTTCCCTCGTTGTTTCAAATTTCACAGAAGCAAAACAAATATGTGCATCTTAGAGTTTTATTCATATATAATATTATTTTTACTTTATGATGAAACATATATTGCATTCATGTGCTGGTAGACACACACAGATGATAGAAACAACGCATTGCTGTAATTTATAGTTGTAAATCTTCGAATATCTCCTCTACAGAATAAGAAAACCAGATGAAAGCAACCAAATATGAGGGCCTCTGAAATACACTTAACTTAAGATGCATCACCTTGCCGCACAACGTACCACGGATACAATAAAACCCAAAATAATAGCAGCAAATGGAAGACAGTTCCTCTGAAAGGAAGTCATCTTGAGAGAGGAATCAAAGAAAGCTATTCAGCCTAGTCTATCAGAACAAAAGGCTTTCTATTGACGAATTCAACCATTTCACAGGAGGTTTGGAGTGTGGCCGATTGCTACCTTAGAGGGCCCGGTGTGTATTATTGCAGTAAATGGCATAGCGAGGCTGGGGCGCGCTAGCCAGGTCTCAGCTATGAAATTGGAAATAACAATGGTGGGACTCAACAGCATATCCACACCAAGGACATAACTCAAGAGAGAAGTATGGGCTCAGTGGGAAAGCCCTGTGATATTTTTTGGAGAGAACGCTTGAAGCCTCCCTTGGACAAAAATACCACGGGTCAAGCCGAAAAAGAAAGGCTCCGGTTTCTTTCTCGAAGCAGCAAACCCCCCCCCCATCAGAAGCTGTTATTACAGCAAGTTAGAATCACTATGCAGTCATCAAAGATGCATGGAGAAAAACATGAGTCTGCATGCAAGAAGACGAGCGCTGGCAGGGATTTGTTCACAAGCTCCGAATGACATGCGTTCGCATGCAAGTGGAGATTTTTTATGACTTTCTCGTGATTCGACAGAATGCGAAATGCGGTTCTTGAAGCCGCAACATCAAAACGGTCATACTTGTTAACGCCATTAAAACTGAGGAGTTGAAACGCATTAGCGGCCGTTCTTATGTAGTCCTGGTATGATTAGAACTCGAACTCCCTTTGTGTGAGGAAGATGAGTTTGCCTCTCTTGCTCTCTCAGCAGTGTCTGCATGCTTGGGAAGAATTAGGTCACTATTTGAGTGGTGTGCCTGCAAGAAATCTCCATGTTAAAAACGTACCATGAAATGGTGAAGGATGGGGGAGGGAAGGTGCGCAGGTAG